GCGCGCGCGCGCGCGCGCGCGCATACACACATACAGACGGACAGGCTGTGGCACACAAACAAGCACACGGTTCACCCGGTACGTTTTGCCAAGCTTTTAAGCACTTAAAAGTCAATAAGCTATCGAATCAGAAGATTTTGAAAGAAAACCCTCTCAAGTGTAATTCACAGTATTTACCCATGCACAGAGTGGCCCAGACATGCGCTGGCCCATGCCCAAAACTACGCAGCGCCCCACCCACCCAACTCCTTTCAACCAGCATAAGGGTTTTTTTTTGAGAACCTTCATAAATCTTACCCAAAAAATTGAACTATAACTTTAGACGTTCAGACGTTTCAGCTAGTATCCACCACTAGCTTTCGTCAGTGACTGAGAGACCAGAGGAGAAATGCAGGTTTATAAGCACAAACTAAGCTGACGAGAGGAGAAATGCAGGTTTATAAGCACAAACTAAGCTAACGAAAGCTAGTGGATACTAGCTGAAACGTCTGACCGTTTCCAAAATCATATCCAGTTGCTTGAGTAACTGCTTTTTGGTGTATCTTTAATATTACCAGGATGTCTAACCTTGATCGACGGTTAAATGGTTGTATCACTGCGTGCCTGTATTTCACTTCCATCTGTGCAAGCCGAAGATATTTATAGATTGGAGAGATACTTTATCTGACGCTGTGCACGTTGCTTGTAGTTGGCAGGGCTCAGGAAATGGCCGTCGGCTTGAGTCATGTAACATCGATGACTCGCTCCGTTAGGGAAAAACCCGACTTCCTCGTCACCTACTCTCTAAGCAGAGGTTTGGTGGTTTGGCTTATTTTTGGCGTGATTTAAGGCTTTATTACGGGCTTACTTTTGGACTGGTATCTCTTTTTTTTAGATACAGATACAAGAAATAAAGTCCGATAAAAAGGGCTAAAACATGCCAATAAGCCAAAGCAGACACCTCTGCTTGCAGACTATAATTACAAACTTCCTTGTCATCAGCGACAGCATGTGTCAGAATGTCGTCTACATCCTGTAAACTTTGTCCTTGACGGTCACATCATGTATGTCACACGAAGGACCAAAACGACACAAATTGTGCTCAACGAAGGAACAGAATTCAACAGAGAAGGGACTAATTTCAACAGAGAATGGGCTAAATTCAACAGCGAAGGTAGCCTCTACCAGGCTTGAGGAGGCGGCTGGAAAGAGCAGAACTTTGATCGGCCAAAATAGAGAGATAAGCATGTGAAGGGAGTTTGGCCATTGAGAGAACAGTTCGCCGCCCCACAAGTTCGTGTGCCCAGGGGCGCCCTACGGCGCGCTGTTGGATTTATTGCTAAATGATCTTCTGCGCTGAGATACTTCCTTTGTTGGATTAATGGGGGGATTACTTTTATGCCGTTTGATCATGGCGACTCCAGACAGGCTTATCTCTCTATTTTGGCCGATTTCTACTCTTTCCAGCCGCCTCCTCAAGCCTGGTAGAGGCTACAGCGAAGGGGCTGTGCTCAGCGAATGTCCTGTGCTCAGCGAAGGGGCTGTCAGATATTTTTGAGTAGGAGATCAACATACTGTAGACTGTTGTTTTAATTAACTGGTAACTTTACCTACAAGAATGGAGGGAGTGGCAGTGTCGTGACTCTGGCAGAGCGGAGTATTTTATGTGGTTCCGCGAACCGGCGGAAACCAACCGCCCACTCCACACACCTCACGACAATGGGGATCGGTTAACAATAGATTATATGATAGATACTAGGGTGTGATTGTATAAGTATATAATGACAGGAAATTTCTCGCCTGGTGGTCGTAATTTTCGCACTTGAGCGGGGCGTTGTAAATCCAAAGGGTTACTAGTCCGTGACAGTCCATATACTTTTGTCTGTACTCTCCAATTTAAGCAGAGGTTGGTGGGGAAGATTGTGGCCTTTCTAATGTCTTTCATACATGTCATATGCCCTGTCTTCTGTTGCTACCCCCAGTGGGGGGGGGGGGAGGTTTACGTGCGCGCAGGTAGGTACCATATTCACCTGTGCACAGTTTCATTTCTCGCCAAAGAACCATCAAAATTCTCCATCTCCGGACCAGAAGCCTGTGACAAAATGCTGGTCTACTCGTTACAAAGCTACATGATGTTAAGCTCGTATAGATCTTACACATGATACACAGCCATGCAAGAACACATACTAGGAACATTATGTACACCTTGTAAACATAACTTTTAGCCCAGTGTGTGCCGATGGACAATACAGCATTACAACAGAGAATGGAGCAATCACAGTGAGTTTTACTAGACCGTGACAGCCCTTTGTCTGATGGTGTCACGCACCTGTCAATCCTACACAGGTAAAAGGAGAGACAGTAAACATTGCAAATCACGTTTTCCTTTAAAACGGATACTATTCTTCGAAAGTGAACTTTTGAACGTGTACCTTTGACATTTATTTGCGTATACTCGCTAGCCTAAGGCCAATTTGGCACGAAGGAAAAACAGAAAAAAACAGGCAAACAAAAATAGGGCGTGACCAAAAGGAACAAGTTGTTAATTCAAGCTTCATTCTAAAGTCATTATTTTTATTTTTCAAGATGTAGGGTTCTCACCCTGTACAGGCCCCGTGGGCGGATGGAAACTTTCTTTCGCGGCTGGTTGTAGGATGGCCGGCAATTAAAAGAACGCGTTAAAAACTCTACAAAACGCAGAATCAAAACTCCCACCAGCCCGGAGCCCGCACAGGAGGCTAGTTCTCACCAAAAAAGACCAAACACCCCCTACGCTGGTTGAAAAACAGTGTAGGGGACAATCACAGCATAGGGGTCCAAATCACAGAATAGGGGTCCAAATCACAGTGTAGGGGTAGCCTCCGTAGCAGGCTTATAGAACTGGGGGATTGGTGGTCTTCGGCTAGTCTCTACCAGACTCCTTTGCAGGCTGAATAAATAGTAGAAATCGGGAAAGGGCGAAATCATTGGCCAGAGGAGTTGGTCGGCCATAGAGGGTCCAGCTGTTTTCTGATTAGCCCAGTTCCAGGGGGCTCAAACAGCGAAATGAATCGAGGTAATAAAATAATAACTGGTGACATCTACGTTGTATGTTGATAGCCTGTGTCTAAAAACGCTAATATATGAAATTTTATTGTACCACAGTTATACATCCTGTCCGTGAAGTGGTCTGAGGGTAGTGAGTTCATCATCTACAGACGGTACAGCGCTTTCTTCCAGCTACACGTAAGTAATTAGCGTCTTCCAGGCTTCGGGAGGCGGCTGGAAAGAGTAGAAATTGGCCAAATAGACAGATGCTATATGCCAGGGGAGTTACTAATAGTTTGCGCTACGAGAACAGTTTACCGCTCCCAAACTGTTCTCTTAGCGCGGACCAGGACCAACTGCCCTGGCATGTCATCTGTCTATTTTTGCCAATTTCTACTCTTTCCAACCGCTTCCCGAATCCTGGTAGAGGCTAGCAATAGTAAGTAATGTTATATCTACATGTTAACGTTATCACGGTTATGGGCTACTGGTGCGAACGTTTAACAGTCAGGTCACGTAGTATAACTTAAGTTGATATCATCTGTTGTCTTATACGTAGGTCAATTTTGTTACACCCTTGTACAGTGTCTGTCTGTATGTCTACATTGTACATGCACCAGTAAGTAATGCGATATCTACACGATCTATAGTCTAAGGGAACGTTTAGCAGTTAGGTCACGTAGCCCACATCTTCGCTTCCCCAAGCGTGCAGGAATGTAGATAACGACATTGTGGTTACAGGATGTTAGAAAAGGATTGAAGTTAAGTCGATGGGGAAGTGTAGCCTCTACCAGGGTACGGCAAAAATGTTCTCTCTAAGCAGACCAACTCCCCCGGCATGTTATCTCTCTATTTGCCCGATTTCTACTCTTTCCAGCCGCCTCCCGAAGCCTGGTAGGGGCTAGGGGAAATGTGGTAACGGGTTGTAAGTGAAGGCTGACAGTCAGGGTGACTGTTGAAAACTGCACGGGAAGGGTAGGGTGTGTCATGTTTGAGTGTACGGAAGAGAGCTCGCTGCAAAAGTCTACGTAATATACATTGTATCTTGGCTGGAAACCAAAAGCATTGGCTTGTATCGCGGATGTAGTCTCCACCAGACGCCTTTGCAGGCTGAATAAATAGTAGAAATCGGCCTTGCAGTGGAGGCAAATATGGCCCTCTTTGGTCGGCTAGCACCTCTGCCCACATTACATTCCTTTTTAGGCCGAGCTTAACTCCTCGGCTTAACACCTCTTCAGATGTAGAGATGTAAAGATAGATTAGACCCCTAGGTACAGGTACAGGTGCTATCTCTGGGATCGGAGCTCAAAGATTTTTTCGAGCGTTGCGGAGCGAAACTCCGGATGATACCCAGGCTACCTGGCATCCAGGTTACTGTAAATTGGCCTGAACCCAAGCCTGATGCAGCTGGATTGTGGAAAGCCAGCATACCCGCGCCTACGCCGATATGCTTGACGCGTTGTGTACAATAGGAGGGGGTTGGGGATGTCGCAGTGCAGCTTTCTGTACTATTCAGTTGTTTGTTGTCCGTTTTGTTGTTCTGCTTCATGTACCAGTGAACCTTAAGGTCTTGTCACGGCATCAGACTCCAGGTGTTGCCTTAGCTATCACTATTCTTGGAAAACCACTTGAGATACTATGGATGAATTGCCTAAGCTGCCACCTATTCTTTGAAACGTTGACTCCACTTCAGACACTATGAATATAACGAATGAATGAATGGTTTATTAATGGATGAAATACTAGAGTAAAGGCTAGGAAATCACATCGCTTTACTCAATATTCTAAATCCAACCTGTTTCTTTCTTTTTTTCTTCAGGAAAAACTGACTGAAGTGTTCCCAATAGAGACGGGAGTGGTCGGCAAGAAAGACCAGAAAATTCCTCTACTACCAAGTAAGTCCACACCTTCTTTATCATGATGTTCTTTACTCTTTCTGACTCTTTCTATCTTTATTGAGATTGCATCAAGACAACAGAGACTTTGCAATCCACACCTTCTGAGCCCTGACCTGTAAATTCTTACGTCATCTACAGAACAAAAATGGTTCGGAAACGAGAAGTTCAAGGTGGCAGAGGAAAGGCAGACGACGATCGACGAATACTGCCGAAAGGTTGCGATGGCCGAGCCGAAGATATCCGAACACGAGGCGGTGCTGAACTTCTTCGAGGCGCTGCCAGAAGATCTGACCCCTCCTCCTCCCGACCCGTACGTTAATTAATTAATTCTGCATCTAAGCTTTTTTTTCTGTCGAAAATATTGTTTTGCTCTGTTCCAAACATAAGGTCAATGATCTGGACCAGACATCTGTCACCATGGTAACTTATGCTGTAGATCATTTAGCAAAACAGGGTTAGAAATGCTGCTTATCGTACATATAAATGTATCCAGGCTTTGAGTAAGAATAACCTAAGCAGTAGTTCGTTCGACCATGAGAAGGTAAACGTCATGCACTTGCTTTGCAAATGTCACCTTTCTAGCTTTAATAGTATTATATATAGCTAATTCAAGCCGTTGTGATAGATTCTGATGTTGTCCTCTAACAGTGAGATGCCCAACAAGACGTACCTGACATTTGAGTCGAAAAACAAGACGGGAAAAGGGAAGAAGGAAAAGTCGGGTAAGGGTTCAATACTTTAAGTGTATCCACGTTGCGTCATGAGGAATTTTCTTAACAGAATATCCAATATCATTGGAGTCAATGTCATTGTACACATTGATTTATTAATTTCAATTGTTTTCATCTTACTCATAATGCTGTAAAACTGCTGTACTCCTATCTAAACTTTACTGTCTTAAACTGTTCTAAACTTGCAGCTGGTAGGTTGTAGTTTTTTTTCTGTGCCTTTTTTGAATCGCCTGCGATCACTATATATATATATATTTCCTTCTTTTTCGACCCATCGACATTTTTAGGATTTCGCAATATTCTCCACTTCTTGACTGGCGCTCCTGATGAAGAAATTCTGTCCAGTGGTACGTGCTCTTGTCTGCTCTCTCTCTCTCTCTCTCTCTATTTTTATCTCTATCTCTCTCACACACAAACATAGACACACACTGACACACACACACATACACACTGACAGACACAGACTCCATGTACATGTAGATGGACTTCGTCATCACTCCCCTCACTATGTGATTTAGCTAACGTCTTGCAGCATGTTTAGTCAGTCCTCCCTAGTTACCGCCAGCTCCTAATGTCACTTGGCCAAGGTAGTAATCTCCAAGCAGATTCTATATTGGCCTCCTGTAACAATTGTCGTGGGGCAGCCAATGGCTGTAACAGGCGGCCAATATAGACTCCCTATTGCCCCACAGAATCTGCCTCTCAGAGATTACTCTGTGGTTTCTAGCGACATTAAGAGCTAGCAAAAACTAAGGAGGATGGCACCCAGGCTACAGCATATGTACTTTATACTCAACTGTTTGACTTTGTCGTCCCCGTAGCAGAAGACATGGAGATCTCTGCTCCCATCCTGCTGGAGACTTACCGGGCGATTGCCACCTTCACCCCGAGCGGGAAAACTGAGGTCCGCCTGGAGGAGGGAGCGCACGTGGACGTGGTGGAGAAGAACATGAGCGGTACGTTTCTGTATGATAAGTCCAGATATGCCAAGATAATGTCACTTGAAGACAGACAAAAAATGTCCACACTATGCATGACTGATGATGTACAAAATGACTAATAAACTGGTGGATGTACCAAGTACTTAGTACCTAATACCAGTTCAGAAAAGAACAAGAAAAACAAGAAATAGTCGTCATCCGAGGATTGAGGCATTCAAGAACTCATGTTTTCCTAGAAGTTTACTACGTACTGCTACCGTAGAGTGGAAGTAGGGGCATCATCACTAGGTATCTGCCCCTTGGTGCAACCCACCTGTTTCTGCATAACCCCTCTTCTGTATGGAACGTTGTGCAACAGATTGTAAGATCTCCAAGCAGATCTTCTGATGGCTGCAACACATTATTGGCCAGACAGTATCCAATACTCATCTCCAAGCATATTCTTTGAGGCAATGGTCTATATTGGCCGCCGGTATCCATTGGCCTCAACATCAGAATCCTCTTGCTCCACAGAATCTGCTTATAGACTATCCAATATGCCAACCTTTGGCTGGTGTAAAAAAGAGACCAGTACAAAAAAACGTATAAAAGGTGAAGCCAAAGCTTTGGAGTGTGCAGTCTGGGACAATCAGCCTTATCCAGCTTATAAGTCGTGGAAGTATTGACGGTTCGTGTAGTAAAGTTGACATGTTTTGTACCCCTCCAGGCTGGTGGTTGGTTCAGGCGGACGACAAACAAGGCTGGTGCCCCGCCTCCTACCTGGAACCTCTGGACCAACCAGAGGAAAGAGACGAGGAACGGCCAAACTGGGAAGGTAAGACAGACAGACAGACAAAGCCAGCCAATCAAAAGTCGACAACAGTGCCTAAGGACGATGGGTGTCAAACTTAATGCAAAAGCTGAAAGAATCTAGCTACTGTAATCTCCAAGCAGACTTTGAGGTTACTGCAAAGACAAACTGAGTATAAAATTGGCCAGGCAGTATCCATTTGCCAGACAGCAATCATTTGCCTAACGATTGCCTAAAGACACATTTACCAGTACAAAAAAGAAAGTCTGATAAAAACACCATGCCAAAAATAAGCCAAAGCCCAAACCTCTGCTTGGAGAGTAGAGAGACTGTATTGACTGGCCATGGGACGCAGATGAGATGAGTCTTAACCGATCCATACTTGCAACTTTTTTTATGCTGCTTCGACTCGACTTCCCCCTGGACAGAAGTATTGAGGATGTGGCAGAAAGTTGCTGTCATTTCACAAGCTAAATCAAAATCACCTAGCCAGTTCTTTGGAGGTATGTTGTTTGGACAGGGTGCCATGCGTATTCTCACCGCCAGGTGGCTGGTTCGCCTATGCTTTATAGTCTGGGAATCAGGGATCACCAGGTGCTGGGACTTTGACTGCCGTGTCACTCACCTCGATCACCTCTTTATGTTTAGGAACAAGGTCATTAACAGAGCAGGTGCCTATCTGTAGTACAATTACGGTTAAGGAGAGTCGGAGAGTTAAGGCTGCCTACAATGGACCAAGGGTTGGATGTGTGTTGCTAATAATCCCTCTTTATGTTTAGGAACAAGGCCATTAAGCAGATCAGGTGCCTATCTGTAGTACAATTATGGTTAAGGAGAGTCAAGACTGCCTACAATGGACCAAGGGTTGGATGTGTGTTGCTGATAATACCTCTTTATGTTTAGGAACAAGGCCATTAAGCAGAGCAGGTGTCTAGCTGTTAAGGAGAGTCAAGACTGCCTACAATGGACCAAGGGTTGGATGTGTGTGCTGACAATACCTCTTAGTTTATGTTTAGGAACAAGGCCATTAAGCAGAGCAGGTGTCTAGCTGTTAAGGAGAGTCAAGGCTGCCTGCAATGGACCAAGGGTTGGATGTGTGTGCTGATAATCGGATAGTGGCAATAGACTGTCCTCTGTATCCAGTCCTGGACGGTTATCTCACCATCATGTGCCTATATTTTGTTTTCCTCTCTCAGGTGAAGACTTTCTGACCACAGAAAAGTATGAGCCACAGATAGATGACGAGATTGGGTTTGATAAAGGCGTGATTGTTCACGTCATCCACAAGCTCCTGGACGGCTGGTGGATTGTAAAGTAAGTACAGGCTGTTCGTGCATCCTGTTTTATATTTGTTGGTATGTGTAGAACAACCAAGGTGTCATATGTATCAACTAAGGATTGGGGTGTTCAAAAACTCATTTTCCCTAGAACTCAAGTAGAGTGGAACTCACTGTCATCAAGTACCGTAGGGGCAACATACACCTGATAGCTTTAAACGAGATGTTTAAAGGCTAAGTCGTTTGGTGTAATATACAGGTGATCCGTGAAATATATTTTGAAATATTACCACACTCTTGGAAATTACAAGTCTTTTAGGTCATTTTTGGGTTGATCTCCACTCACCACGTTGACTTGTTGCCATGCTGCAGGTACAACGACAAAGTGGGTTACGCCCCTTGCGCCTACCTACAGAAGTACACCAACCCCCACCTGCCCCTCCACAAGGCCCGTGACAGGGTAGACAGCGACACGTCAACCGGCTCCTTCATCAAGAAGTTGCCTCCAAGAAGGTCAGTACAGTACAAGCTAATAAACGTACTGGTTAGGGTACTACTAAGTATCTAATACCAGCTGAGAAAAGATCACGAAGCAACCATGCCTTCAAATATCAGAGTTATCAACCACAAATTGTGGTGTTCATACAACTCCTGCATTTTCTGAAATGGTAGATTTAATTCCATCGAAGCAAACCGGGTTTGAAGACACCAATGAGGTAGATTATCCATACAAGAAAATGTCATTCAACAATAGAGCTCACTGATAGATCTGTATCCCACTTTTATTTGTATACACTTGTGTAGTAATCATTCTAATTAGGTATCTTTCATTCTACTATCAGGTCTACTATCCGCAAGAGGACCACTGTCCACAAGAAACAGCAGAAGCAGCGTGACCTGCTGATGTACAGACGCAAGACTCTGGAGGCCTCCAGGCGATCCAAGTTCGGGTCTTCCGAGGGAAGCTCCAAACTCGAGGCGGCCAGGGAGAAGTACAGGATGAGCATGCTTGTGGAGGGAGATGAGCCTGAAAGTGCAGCTGACTCGTATGTGGACATGAGTGGTGGGAGCGCGGCAACCAGCACCGACGCGGAGGGATATCTCCTGCCTAACGACAGCATGACGGCGGCGTCCCCCGGTCCTTCGTACGAGAACGACAGTGTGTTTGAGGAGATGTCCGGCACAAGGTCCAAAACTTCAAGTTCAAGTACAAGCTCAGCGGAAGCCGCAGGGTTGCGCCACTCCTATGTGAACGAGGATGCCCTTGCGCAGGGAGCCGCCGGCTTGGGTAACACTTACGTCAGCGCCGAGACTACGTCACAAGCACACGGAGATAACTCAGAAGCGAACGTCTGGGCTCCAGCATTCGTGTCACCAACAAACGCTGGCAAAGCGGCGGGGGAAAAGACGAATACTACTGGCCCAGCGTCAACCAACGCGTCCGTCTGGGTGCCAGCCTTCGTCGACGAAGAGAAGAGCAAGAAGGAGTTTCCTGGGAACCCCGATTACATCAACAGCGACACTGTAGCTTCTGCTACAGGGAAGGCAAAGGTGCAGAATACCCAGTTTCTGAATCTCGGATACGTGCCGGATGCACCCGTCCCTTCGGACTCCTGGAACCCAGTGGGGCCACACGCTAACAACAACAACGCTTCCTCGGACCCTGCATGCAAAAACGTTGATGTACCCAACAACAACCGCATGTCGCCTGTGCCGAGCCCCAGAACTCGACGCCAGCCCGTTCCAGCACCCAGGAGGAGGAGCTTGCTGCCACCAGGAGAAGGTAGTGATAGTTCTGGCAGCGACAGCCCCAAGAGCGGTCGTTCCACGCCTAAGAGCGGTCGAGCCAGCCCCAACAGCGGCCGCCTAAGCCCCAACATCCCCGCTAGACCGTCGGCAGCAGAAATAGCAGCAAGGTGCAGCCCACAGACCAGACTGAAGATCCTGGAGGCACAACAAGCGCCAGACACCTGCGTCGTGAACAACACCAAAGAGCAGGAACCAGTCAACAACGAGTGTCCAGTCTCGCCACCTTCTACACCAGAAAGCTCGCCTGCGGTCGCTCAGCAGCCTGATGCCGCTGTCATCAACCAAATCACGGCCATGATTGGCAAACGCAGCCCCAACATCAGCCCAGCCAACCAGAGGAGAAACTTCAACCAAACCGCGGAGCTGGAGGAAAACAGGAAGAGCAAGGTGTCGGTCGTCATCAGCCAGGAGGATGAGGATGTGGTGGATACAGAGAAGAAACCTGGAGAGAGGAGAACAAGCTCCTTCCGAATTATTGAGTACGACGGGCCTGCCACATTTGTGTAGTGGCATCTTTGTAGCTAGATGTGTGTAAAAATTGTGTCAGGCTGGCTAGGATAGATGTGTGTCAAATTCAATGCGTCAAGCTATTGATAGTGAGGCTAGATGTGTCAAGCTACTAAGGGTAGATGTGTGTCAAAATGTGTCGAGCTAGCTAGGTTCGATTTGTGTCAAATTCAATGTGTCAAGCTATTGATAGCTAGGCTAGATGTGTGTCAAATGTGTCGAGCAAGACTACGTAGAAATGTGTGTATCAAAATGTGTTAAGCTAAGCTTGATGTGCGTTAAAAGTAAGCTATACTAGCTATTAGGAAGGCCATCTTTGCTGTAAATATAATATTGGTGCTCCTAAATGAATTTCAAAGAGAAGGATTAAAAAAATGTGCAGAATTCTTACAAAAAGTTGCTACTTGCTGCTTCACTGTTACACAGGACCATATATATATATATTAAGGAGTAATAGATTTTGAAGACACTGGTATTGATAGCATGGAGGTAGAAATTGATAGTAAGCGTTACATTTTGTGAATGTATTCAGAAACTAACCTAGAACAGTATTTAGTTTTATCATGGATATGGTGTTGAGATGACCTTTTTCTAAACGCAAGATGATGTTTGTGTGGTTCTTACACCAGTGTGAAAAATTTTTCACGCAAATTATATAATAACCAAGAGTTGATTTTTATACTTTTTCAAAGCCATTTGCATTCTAAGTACAACGAAACGCATGTCTTGCCTTACGAGTATGATATAACGTTATGACCTGTAAATGACATTAAAATACAATACATGGAAAATAAAATACTCGGAGGCAACAATAAGACAACGATTATTATTTGTGTATGAACGTGTGTATGTGTGTGCATTTGTGGGAGGGGGGCGTCTGTGTGCATGCGTAACGTTACACAAAAATATTAATACAAGTAAATAAAAGAAACGAAAAAATAGAAAAATTATGTAGGTGTATATGTTTAACCACACCATATGATCATTGACATAACAGCATACAAAACATTTGCAAAGCTAGGAATCTGAAACATAGTTTTACAAGACTCAAAAATTATATCAAACCTTCATTCTACCCCAAAGACGACTTCTAGCGTCTCCAGCTATAACTGCAGTTCGTCCTGACGTCACATTGGCTCGTCGAACACGTTCGACGATTCCATCAATAAGTGTTCCCATGGTGATATCTTTTAGCCGTACAAACATAAAAGAATAAATGGTAATGTAAAAAAAAACACTTATCAAAGAAGTATCTTTAATATATAGGATTATCAATTTTTTTTGTTATTAAACGTAATGTTACGGCCGATATGTAAAAAGAATTGTGATAGTATTCCCCTTTGAGGTAGTCATAATAGAACCTTCCGTTGCTAGGTAAACATAGCAACCGCGTCACGCAATCGTGCTCTACCGACAGGCTCTTCAAGCCAGTTTACACACACTGCCAAGTGTGCAAAGTAAACAAGCAGTAATCTCCATTATTTATCGATTCCGTGCGCCCCAACTGACGGCAGAAGCGTGCTCTTTTTATTGACAAGGTAAGTACGTTGTGTATTCTGGTGTGAGTGGCGGAAATTTGCCGTGGAGTGCGGCAGTCTTTTGGACGGGCGAAAAATTTACAGTAGCGAGTTTTGTTGGGGGGGAATTTTCATGGCCGCTGAGTCTCATATGGTGCGCGGAGACCTGAGACTAGATAAAAATACATTCTCTTGGCCTGCCTTTCTCCGTTAGACTTGTACAGGCCTTTTTTCTGTGTTTTATTGGCTAATAGTTGTATTGGTTAGCTTATAAAGTTGTGTGTCGTCAAATTATGAAACACCAAAATTCGTTAAAAAAAGACTCAGGCCTCCCGAATTCCCTCCCCCAAATCATGCACGAAGTAAAGTCCTCTAGACTAGAATCAAGTGATTCATTGTGATTATTGAAGAAGAATGAATCTTTTTAAACAGATTGTCATCAGAAATAGCTTTTATACCTCTCTACAGAAAGACTATAAACCTCTATAAACTAACCCCTAATGCGATTTTTATGAACTAACTTGTTTGTTCATGCCAGTTCGTGTAAACATTGCCCAGAGATAAGCTGATCAACAAACAGCAAACTTTCTCTTAACAACTTCCGCCAGTACTTCCCTGCTGTGATTTGGCACGTTTTATGATCAAGTACTACATATAAACCTATGTTGTTTTATAAACGTGTAACGGTTTTTTTTACGTATGGACTTAACGCTGGATGTATCCAGATTGTTGGTGAAATTGTCAACAAATCTTGTCATAGACATAACTTTAACTATTGGAAGCCAGGCATTCCCTTGTTTGCAAAAAAAGAAAAGAAAAAAGAAACACTTGATTTCTATTCCAAAAACAGTAACTTCCACCTTTGTTGCAAAAATTTTTAATTAGCATTTACATGATGCAACAAGTCAAGCAACCATGGAACTATAGAAGGTTGAACTGAAAAGTACATTGGATCCTATCACATTGATTTTCTTTAAAAATTCTGCATTTTACTATAACGTTACTCTAGTATTGGAGACAGACGGTTAGACACTCCACCATACAGTGCCCCTATGACCTGGGTTAAGAAACCAAGGTACAAGTTACAAGTACAATGTATATAGTTTAAGGCAACAAATATGTGGTCTATGATAATGTAATTGAATGTCTTGATCTGTCGCTACAGGTTCTAAGAACTAAATAGCCAATCAGGATGCATCGTGCGGCAAGCAGACGCTCGGAGGCGAGCGAGCCTGACATGGACGGAATGGCGGAGAGCGAACTGGCCAAACTGCAGCGGCAGTACCGTATCATGGAGGGAGACCGCAAGGCCTACTGCGAGGAGTCACAGAACATCATCCGCAAACAGAAGTGAGTGGTTTTTCTTCGGTTTTTCTTTTCTTCTTCTTCTTATATACTCTCTAACAACCCCTATTGGGGTATCACTGAGAGGGGGGGTGCGACGGGCTATGGCTGTGCGGCCAGGAGTCCGGCCTTAAAGGCCTCCACTGACTGGGCTTTTACTAACTGTCCCGGCAGCTTATTCCACTCCTTTATTGTTCTTGGAAAAAAAGAAAATCAAAAACAGTCTGTTTTGGCAGATATTGCTTGATATTTATATCCTCTGGTACGCCTATGGGCAGCTTTGAGATATTGTTCCATTTGAATATTGATATGGCCATGAGCAATTTTTAATGCCAATGATCATGATATTGATCATTTTGGCATACTCATTAACACCTGAGCGAAGTGAGGAAAGTCTTTTCCAAGGGCACAAGGTTGGTGACATGGCAGGATTCGAACCTGGGACTTCTTGGTTCTGAGCTGAATTCTCTGCCATTACGCCACACGACCCATGCCGTCTATAGCCTCTTCCAGGCTTCAGGAAGTGGCTGGGAAGAGTTAAGAAATTAAAGGGGCCAAATAGACAGATGATATGCTAGAAGAGTTGGTCTGCACTATTCATTACTCTCTCTCTCTTCTACTGCATGTGTCTTGCATCTGCAGTCTTATTGTGGACCAACTCACCATGCATATCATCTGTCTACTGGGTATTTGGCCAATTTCTACTCTTTCCAGCCGCTTCCCGAAGCCTGGTAGTATTGGTCACTTCACTAGTTGTTTCTTATTCCCCCTATGTCTAAGACCCAGCAAACTCAGGAGAAAGGAATAAGAGTAGAGTAGAGTAGAAGCTTTGACCAGGTAGGACAAGTGCTCTTTTCAGTATGAAGAAGTTGTTGGTATACATCAGGCATACTTCTCCTTGGTTTCAACAACTCTTCAAATATCCAAGTGACCACCTGATGCCTCATATTGTCTCAGTCTGTGGGCACAGAATGGCTTGTTAAGAGGCTTTAGGAGTCCTTATGTGCACCAAGTCCTTGTGTAGCACCAAGGACAGTACCCATCTGGGAAGCATTCACAGGGAAGCCTGTTCCATAGCGATGTACTTAAAATATGTGGTTCAAACCTTACAGCCCAGTCTTACACAGCTTATTCTTACTGAACAAAACTGTGCATTGCAACTAAAGGCAGTTTACTGGTTATTATATACAAAACAAACAAATAATGTAAATTTTCTGGTCCACAGAGCCATGATTGAGGCCCTCCAGGCCGAGCAGACAGAGATAAAGACAGACCTGACTCTGGCTGAGAGCCGACAGAACCAGATTAAGGACGGAGACAACACCCACTCGCTGAAGGACCTGGTGGAGAGTAAGGACAGCTACGAGGATCTCATCGCCGAGGAGAAACAGACCATAGCTGAACTGGATGCTAAGGTAATCTTGTAATACTTGTAGTATCCTAAATGTAATGTCTAAGTATTTGTTTGAACTATTTTTTATTCATTTGAAGCTCAAATTGGCCTGGAGGTCACTTTTCATTGAGGTCACGAGGGAAGAGGTAAGGGTTTGAGGTATCAAAAAGATTAAGTTACTGGTACTTCATGTAATTAAGTCCTAATATTTTGCACATACATGGTACAAAAAACTGTATTATGAGTGAGTGCTTCTACGTGTATATGCCACCATATGGGTTGTGTCCATTTGTTTTGGATATAAGAAACAACTTTTAGCAATGAATAACAAGAATTGAAATTTGTGGCACTTGCAATTGCCACTTGCCAAGTTATTTCTAACAAGTACACCTGTCAGGTGTAAATTGCTATATCCAGAGTAACATCACAAAATGTTACATATAAGGCTAGTATGACAACAGTTTCTGTTTCTTTTTGGATGTTCACTGTTTATTTTGTCCAAACTTGCCTGCAGATTCGAGCCATGGAGCGTAAGATCAAGCAGCAGCATAAGACCATGGGCGGTGTCCACGCCTCCCACCAGAGGCACACGCAGACTCAGAAGATGATTCGTGTACTGGAGAACAGGCTGCACAAGGTGGGTCTTTATTTATGTCTATCTATTCAGTTGCAAAATTTTCTTTTGATCTACTTACTTCTTCATTCGTATGTTATGTGGCATTGTTTACTTTTACCTCAATGCACTTTGGTTCTTAATGTGGCTCATACACAAACAATATTTGGTCAGATGACAAGAAAGGGAAATTATAAGCAAATTTATTTCCTGTAACTTACATTGTAACTCCATAAGGCGAAAACTTGTGTCGCCCTATGGGGACTGTGACAAACATGTCATATTCATCCAAATTATCTTGGTACACATGTATGTCTGACTGACACTGCTTCACACAAAAGTTTAGTTGCCTTGCTGTCTGTTCCATGTGTAAAATGTTCATTTCCTGAAATTTTCCGCCTTCTGCAGGCTACTGTGGAATTCAACGACATGCTGACAGAGAATTCCTCGTTGCGGGAGGAAATCGACCACCTGCGTACAGAGAGGAACGTGTTCGACAACTTGTACAAGAAGCTGTCCAAAGAGCTGAATGAGAAGAAGAAGGAGATGGGGGAGATTATTGAGCAGTCCACGTCAGCGTATGATGCCAGGTACAGTCCTGCAACATGCAGACATTTCTTTGTTTAATGTGTGTTAGGCCACACCAATTTAATTACCGTAGTTGGATCTCGGATTTGCCCGCTTCATTTTTTTTTTGATCTGCAAAAAAACCCAAATATTTCAGGCCCCAACGGTTGAAGGATTAGTACCTTCTCTTCAGAGTTGTTACAGTTTCCATCTGTCAATGCAGTGGTAAAAGTTTGAAATTCATTGTTAGAGTAACAAACCAGCATGAAATGTTGATTTCATGGCTCCTATCATCGATAGCATTTGGGGCTATCATAGCATGCCTAGGCCTGTTCTTTTCTTTTTGCCCTGTCGCTCCACTTTTCTTATATTTTGATTTTATTTTCCTTTAGGGATGAGGCCCAGGCTAAAATGATGGGTCTGAAAGACCGTAGTGACAAGGACCTCTCTCAGTACAACATGGAGCTAAAACTTCTGGTAAACTCTTTTGATTTTATTTTCCTTTAGGGACGAGGCCCAGGCTAAGATGATGGGACTGAAAGACCGTAGTGAGAAGGACCTGTCTCAGTACAACATGGAGCTGAAGGAACTGATGCGAATCATCGACCATGACGCTAAACTGAAACAGTTCATGACCATGAAGACCCAGGAGAGGGCCGAGATGCAGGAGGAGGAAGAGCTCAGGGGGAAGAAGAAAGGTGGGAACAGTTTGGTACTTTTCTCTTGGTAGACATAGATTTTTAAGTTTTTCTTGGATTTAAGTCAAAGTCATCCAATGTACTGCCCGCATCTCTGGGTTAGACACAGTGCTGGTGTGTCATGGCTAATTAAGGTTAGCATATCATGATGCTCTCAAAATGCTGATGCCAAGGAGGGCCAGCATTAGTCTATGTGCACACTTATGTACACTTATGTATTGTCACCATCGACGGCTTGACGCCAGGTGGCATAAACTCACCTACTCATTTGTGACCTGCCTTCCGGTATCGAAAAACAGTGTTGTGTATTCTATTTTGTACGCTTTGCCATTAAGAACACACTTTAAACCTAAGTATGTAATCTATCTGAGTATGTATTTGTCTGTTTTTCTCTTTTTTATATGGGACTTTGGCCTAAAGCAAAGAATAAGACAAAGAAAAAGAAAACAAACATGTTAATTTCTTCACCCTTCAGAGGAAGAGAAGCCAGTGGGAGGAGAGGAAACCGTAGAAACTTACGAAGCCGCCTTCACTCGTATCAAGGAGGTCACCGGCGAGGAAGACATCGATACGCTGGTCAAGAAGTTCATCGCCACGGAGGACAAGAACTTTGCGCTGTTTAATTACGTTAACGAGCTGAATAACGAGGTGGAACTGCTGCAGGATCAGATCCAGGAGATCAAGGACGAGATCGCCAAGTTTAAGGCGCAGGGCATCGAGATGGAGAAACAGCGGAAGGAGATTATGAAAGATCTGGAGGTGAGACAGTCATTGCTCCTTGCGTTGACTTTTCAGTGCTTGTACTTTTTTTGGTACTGGTTTGGTGCATTTAACATTGAAAATTACCTGCATCAGAGTATGGATCCTACTAAAAGCTGTTCAGAAACTATTGCCATGATAATTCGTTTTATACTTTATAGGAGGTAACAGTCAATGCAGGAAATAAAAATCCACACACATGTTCATGTCCTAGTAAAAATAAACTGTAGACATCAGAAATACCTTCACAGCTTCAATTTCACCTGCACTAGAGTGCATATGCACCCACCCAGTATTTCAAGTCCTGTTTCTAAAATGTTTTCATTTACCTGATCGAATCTCATTTAGAAATTGATGCTACGTACAAAAAGTCAGTTAACTATTCTAGGAGCTCTACAACACATTCAGTTGTTCAGTTGCTGATGCCCATGGTTGATTGATTGATTGACAACACAAAACACAGATACATGTTTTCATGCTAACATCTCCAACCTGTTCTTTCCCAGGCGAAGGCCACCTCGTCCACCCAGCAGGCTGACCAGCACGAGGCCCAGCAGAAAAGCACCAACAAGATCCTGGAGCAGCTAAAGGCAAGTTGGGTTGACTAAGTTTGTATAATAATTTATTACATATTGTTGAAATACTACTTTTAGTGTGATTTTAGATTTGTTGCACACTGCTACAATTTAGAGTGATTTTAGAATTGTACTTAGTACTTGTTTTAAAAATTCAGTCAACGTTTATTATTCCATTGACAGATTGTAAATGAGCATGCAATTCAGCCATCAGGCTGCAATATGCTTTTGTGCAATAAACCAATTTGATTTGATTTGATTTGAAGGCTGCCGTGGAGTCCGTCTTCACTAAGATCAACTGTGACCGCTCGGTCATCACCGACATGCTGGGGGGCAGCGAGGGGGTCACCGAGACCAACATGATGCAGTACCTGGGTCTCATCGAGCAGAAAACTAATGATTTACTGCAGATGCAGGCTTTCTTGGAGCTAAAGGTAATCATGTTGTAAAATGTCCTGCATGTAGCATGGAGCCAGGGTATCAGTGCTCTAGCCAGAATCTGTCTTTCTGTCATTTGACAGAATTTTGCAAGTCATGATAGACATAAATTTTGGACAAAAAATTAGCATGTAAAGATATAGAAATAGATGTCATTAAACTAAGCTTAGTCTCAAAATTTACAGTTTCAGAGTTTCAGAGGGTCGTTATTTTAAAATTTTCCCGGTGGACCATGCTCCTGGTCCCTGCTAGAATTGTTGCACTTTTGGTGGATAAGCAAAATTGAGATGACAGAAAAAAATTTCAAGGCTAGGATGCTGATGGGTACGACTTCTTTAAAAACAATTGTTTAGTTAGGATGCCATGATTGATGAGATGCCATGTGATATTGGTAGTAATTCTTCTATTATGTTTGACCTACCAGGAGGCAGAGCAGAAAGGAGAGGAGTCAGCCCGGCCGGCCACCACCACTCTCGCCATCGGTCCCAGTGTTCCCCCCATCCCAGCTACCATGCTCAACATCGCTGCTCCTTCTACTGGGTATGTACTACTTTTCTTGTCACTGATAAAACCATGGGCAATGCTGCAAAAGGAAAACAAATAGAGATGAACCTCTTAAAATGCCCCCCTCCTTATCATATCTAACATTTTTGATGGTACGTTGTTTCAAATGGACAGAATCCCCTTTTTAACATTGACGACTACAGAAATGGGCTCTTATATCTGATTTTTAACTGAAGCAAGTAAAGGAAATCCAGTCTCTAGAGGACAAAGTAAAGTGGACGATGCTTTCAAGTTGGTTTGACCAGGAGTTGGAACAATCTTCCATAGACATTGCTGCTATAATCAGATACAGACAGAGATCTAAATGTGAAGTAAATTCTTTCCTAAGCACAAATCTCTGACAGCGTCCTATCTTGGCAGTCCGGTTGCTAATTCTGAGCAAGAGCTAACACGCTTTTTTAAAAAAGTAAAGAGCTAAGTAACATTGCTAATACATGACTTTGTGCATTTTGAGTATGAGTCTGAATCAGACATCCCTCATTAGCATTGGGAACTACAGAAATGTGCTCTTACATTTGATACTAGTACCATTACAGTGACATCATTACTAACACAACATTTTTGCAATTTTCCAGCGATGATTACGAGAGCGAGTCAGAAGACGATGACAACGGCGACTACAACCGACCTCTGTCGCAGGACGAGCTGAAGGCCAAGGTCATGCGCAGCATCGCCAAAAAGGAGCAGGCGCCGAAAAAGCGCGCAAGCTCGCCCACCGGAGACAAACACGACAAACCGCGCCCGGGGAGTAAACAGGAGAAAATGAAGAAGCCAACAAAGAGATAAACACGAAAAAACGACGATTTTAAGACGTTTTTATTTCTGTGTTTGTCCCAAATTTTTTGGTATAGTTGTACATGTACATGTATGGCAAACAGGAAAAACTCAAGAAGCCAACAAAGAGATAGTCATGAAAAAACGATGATTTTAAGATGTTTTATTCCTGTGTTTGTCGCACATTTTTTGGTATAGTTGTATCTTGTATGGCACACTTTTGTTAGCTGAACATTTCATACTCACATAATATTATTTTACAAGAAACAACCAACAATATACAATGACATTTGCTTGCCAAGAAAAGTTCATACCTGAAAAGCTGACAAATGTAACAGCTGTATTGTCAACAGAAAGCTTTCTTAATATCTTTTACAAGGAACAACCGACGATAATTATGCAGAAGACAGAACGACATTTGCTTGCCAAGATAAGTTCAACAAAAAGTTTCTGAACTATAGTTTTTACAGGACACAACCGACGATATACAGAATATTTAAAAATTGTTTGCCAAGATAAGTGCATACATGAAGAGCTAAAAGTGTTTTTAACACAAAGCTTTTTGCATATTTTTAACAAAGGTTTTACAGATCTTATATACTATACACACATCTTACTACATGTAGGGATGATACAGCATCTAATACATGTATTTTAACCAAATACCAGCCATATATATTTTTGTATTTGCCAAGACAACTGTGCAGTCTCCATTGAAAATTTATGGAGCCAGTAAAACTTTTGAACTGACCCTTGAATTCTTCACATCAAAGATGTACATTTACAATGTTATGTCCATTGAAAAAAGTGAATAAATTATAAAACAGTGTGAACAACATGAGTCTTTACTGTACACCAACAAGTAGATACTGGTCTAGATATTAAACATTTTCAATCTTTTCATCAGTTTCTTGCCTCAAAAAGTACATTGATTTCAAGTTGTGCATAATGAGATTACTGATTCTCATTCTTGCTGACAGTATCAGTAGGGCAAGGAGACCATTTACATTCAATTTGGTACATGTAATTTCTCCATGTGAAAATCAAATTTCTGTCCCAAAATGAGAAAAGGTTCTTTACCGGATATTTCTAGCTTTATGCATTAGATGTATTCAGCTGTGCACAAGAACCACAGGACAGAGGCAAATGGCGAGCTACCATCAAGCCCCAGCATCAGAGTACAATCATGTCTAACCCTCGGAACACAGGGAACAGACGTTAAGCCGGATAGAGAGAGAGATAACTTGCCAATGCCACATTAGATGATCTAGTACAGTAACTACATAGTACTAGTACCACAGTTCCACAGATTGAAATGTTACCACAGCTATTATCTTACATATTGCTCATAAATACCAAGCACTACATTTTACCAAATTGAATCCACCTGGTGGCAAAAAAAGTGTAATTATGCTCTGCAATTTTCAAACTGCTATATTGGCTAATTCCACATTAAATTTTCAACACTTCATCTCACAATTCAAGACTTGAATATAATAATTCTTGAGCTGAACAGAAGTTCAAGCTCAATTTATTAAAGTGACTTCAGTAATAATTTACTATCATGACACTATATAGTACCTAACACCCCGAGGAACTACCAAATATGGTTTTAAGGACAAACAATAAATTATAGAAAGTCAGGAAAGTTTAATGGTAGCAAAAGGGTGGGATGGGGTAGCAGTTAACAGACATGACTTCACTGCAGCTGAAAGGTTTGTCCGATCTTGTGTTATCATAGCATCACATAATAGTATGCTTGCTACAAAATAATGATTCACTTTGAAATTCGTTTCTCACAAATTGTGGCAAACCCTTGCAATTTCTGTCTGTTAAAGCTTAAAAATACATCATACATACTGTAGTATAGCTAACTAAGCTTGTTTCACTCTTGTCTTGGCACCATATGCGTAGACAACATGACTTCTGTATCTTTACCGACATGAAACTTGAAGACAAATCTTTGAATATATTTTGCTTTTGCCAAGGTTGATTTGATGTAACTGTACAATACAAGTGGGACACAGACAGCTGTTGCTGGTGTTGTGTCCCACACATAGAAACAAATACAGGACAGGACAAAACTCAATTTCATTTGGAGGAAAGTTGTGTAAAGTGCCTTTTCCAAGGGCACAAGATCGGTGGCATGTTCTTGCTTTTGCCGATGGCAATGAAAATCTTGAAAGAGATAAATCTTGAACATCCACTGTTGTAACACTGACATACATAGATCACTTCGAGTACTCTCCAAGCAGAGGTTTGGGCTTAGGCTTATTTCTGGCGTGTATTTTTATTGGGCTCTCTTTTTTGGTATCTTTTTCTACACTTGTCCAACAGGGTGGCAAATAGATACTGCCTACAAAATGGATACAGCCTAACCAAGTTGATAAGGTCTTTGCAGCCACCAAAAGGTGTTAAGTTTTAATGTGTGTCTTGTTTGTGTGCTTCGTTATAATTGTCTTGTGTGTGAGCCACAACACCAGCCCCCGCTGCCTGTGGCCCACAAGTATTGTACTGTTTGCAACACAAGGCCTAGAAAAACTTGGTGGGAGTGTATCCAGAAGGATATCAAGGAGTGTGGTCTGTCCAGTACAGACCCACAGAACAGAGCTAGCTGGAGGCGTGGTGTCCAGAACAGCCGACTGCTGCCCACCCCTGGGACAGGGAAACCTACAGCAGTATAATCTAAACACGGATAGTGAGTGAGTGAATCTCAATAAATCAAACCAAATCAAAAAGATCTGCTTGGAGATTACACTCAGTGGTGAACTAGGGTGATGCGTCGTCCGAGGCGAAGTGCCTGCATGTCATGTCCTCATCGTGTGGGTATCTCTTCTTTAGCTCGTTGTTTGGTACATAGTAGTTTCCCTTGTATTCCTGGAAGAAGCGGCCAATTTCCGGATGGGTGATCTCACACGGACGCTGGTGGTGCTCCAGATTCTCTGTCAGATTATTGTAACAGTGTTTTAGACTAGAGTCAATGTTACTTATTGAGTTTGTGATGCTTGCTTGATAGAAGCAAAAGGACAGGCCTGGCCAGGGTCAGGTTTTTCACCCCGAAAAGCCTAAAACTCATAACCCTCTGAGACACTATTACTTGTTTATAAGGTTATACAGATGTAGCTCCATTCTTAAGTCAAATTCTAACTTGTTCCAGATTCTCTGTGAGATATCGTAACAGTGTGTTTTAGACTGGAGTCAACGTTACTTATGATTGAGTTCACTCTTGACTTTTCTTTGATAGCTCCCCAAAAAAGCAGATTAAAGGAGTCACAGGTCCTCAAAGGAACAGGAGCTGATTTTCTGAGGCACTGTCTTATTTATCTTTACATGTATATTTTCGTCATATTTAAACAGGGTGATGCACTCAGTGTCAATGATGTCCCTTCATCATATCACTCACTGATTTGTGACAGACCAATAATATCTGTGCAATAGCTCAATCAGGTAGAGCGCTCACTTTGTAACTAGGAGGTCGTGAGTTCAAACCCCAGCCAGGTCATACCAAAGACTTTAAAAATGGTACAAACTGCTTTCTCTGCTTAGCAATCAGCATCTATGAGAAAGAGTGTGGGAAGGTCGGAAGGTCAAACACACAGCACTGCCAGCAGGCTAGCCCCCCTGCTGTAGTGCTTGCATAACTGTGTGTCCCAAGGACTACAGAAATAGAGATGGGTACCACCCCTATGCTCCACATGGAGTGTAACAGAAACTTTTGAGCCTGTAAAACAACTTCAAATTCCAAGAATTCATGGAATATGCAGTTATAACTGATGTACAGGAACCATGACTGCAAAGTGTAGAGAACGTACCTCTTGCTGCGTATCTGTTGGAGCCATCAGCCACCAGCACATTGAAGAAGGGTTGGTTTGGCCCCTTGGAGAGACTGTGTACACCCATCTGTATCATCCACTCCTCACTCATCTCACACTGTGGGTCCCAGCCATAGATCACACAGTTGTAACTGTACCTGTGGAGACAAGAGGGGTGTAGTACAGTCTACCCTAACCCTAACCTCACCCTAACCCTAACCCTAATCCTAATCCTAATCCTAACCCTATAACCCTAACCCTATAACCCTAACCCTAACCCTAACCCTAACCCTAACCCTATGCCTAACCCTAACCCTAACACTCATCTCACACTGTGGGTCCCAGCCATAGATCACACAGTTGTAACTGTACCTGTTGGGAACAAGAGGCCAGTAGTACAGTCTACCCTAACCCTAATCCTAATCCTATAACCCTAACCCTAATCCTATAACCCTAACCCTAACCCTAACCCTATAACCCTAACTGTAACCTAATAACCCTAACCCTAACACTCATCTCACACTGTGGGTCCCAGCCATAGATCACACAGTTGTAACTGTACCTGTGGGAAACAAGAGGCCAGTAGTACAGTCTACACTAACACTAACCCTAACCCTAGCCCTAACCCTAACACTCATCTCACACTGCGGGTCCCAGCCATAGATCACACAGTTGTAACTGTACCTGTGGAGACAAGAGGGGTGTAGTACAGTCTACCCTAACCCTAACCCTAACCCTAACCCTAACCCTATAACCCTAGCCCTAACACTCATCTCACACTGTGGGTCCCAGCCATGGATCACACAGTTGTAACTGTACCTGTGGAGACAAGAGGCGTGTAGTACAGTCTACCCTAACCCTAACCCTAACCCCAACCCTATAACCCTAACCCTATAACCCTAACCCTAACCATAACTCTAACCCTAACACTCATCTCACACTGCGGGTCCCAGCCATAGATCACACAGTTGTAACTGTACCTGTTGACACATGTTGTTCATCTGTGTTCTTGGTTCAACTTTTGTTCCAACACAAAGAAATATTCTCACCATATATTTTGTTCCAACACAAAGAAATATTCTCACCATATATTGTTCAGTCACTCTGGTGTTCTTCAATAGACTGACCCAGTAAGACCACGAAATAAGTCTCACTGGGTCAGTCTATTGAGGGACACCACACCAAAGTGACTGGTCAAAAACTCTAGGTGAGAACATTTCTTTGTGTTGCAACAAAAGTTTTAACATTATACACTTTTCATGTGTTGTTATACCTTGTTGTTATGTTCAAAGAGCCATAGATCACACAGTTGTAACTGTACCTGTTGGAAACAAGAGGCCAGTAGTACAGTCTACCCTAACCCTAACCCTAATCCTATAACCCTAACCCTTACCCTTACCCTAACCCTAACCCTTACCCTAACCCTAACCCTAACCCTAACCCTAACCCTAACCCTAACCCTAACCCTAACCCTAACCCTAACCCTAACCCTTACCCTAACCCTAACCCTAACACTCATCTCACACTGCGGGTCCCAGCCATAGATCACACAGTTGTAACTGTACCTGTTGGAAACAAGAGGCGAGTCGTACAGTCTACCCAGGCTGCCAGGACACCGCAAATCAAACCTGGGCAGCCAGCTTGTGAACACAATGCTCTAAATGCTAGGCCAAACTCATTTCACACTGTTGGTCACCCTGGAATCACTCAGGTAGCCAGCGTACAAATGCAACGTCCTAACCACTAGGCCAAAACCCAACAGACCCGTCGGTAGCACCTGAAACCCCACTGTTACACTTCTCCCCTTTTCTTTTCAAGATTTATCCACAAATCTAAAGCACACTAGGGGCGAGTGGAAACACAAATACCGCGGGCTTTTGGGTTGCCATAAGTAACCAAACACCCTAACCACTGTTGTACATGTAAGCAATTTCTCAATGAAATTGCAGATTGTCCCTAAGCCACATAAAAGCAGAAGCAGTCATGCAAAGATATGGCTCAACGTGACGAAGCTACCTTCTATGCCTCATGATCATGCCCACGGAGTAGATGACACCCTCTGCGTTGAAGTTCTTCTTGTCATCCCTTCGCTTTTGCTCCACCTGGAACAAGAACAAGAATTGTTTGCATGCTGCTCACTCACTCACTCACTAACACACTCACACTCATACATGTACACTCACACTCACTCACACATTCACACTCACTCACTCACTCAATCACTCATACACTCACACTCACACACTCACACAAACACACTCTCACTCACTCACTCACTCACTCTCATTCACTCACTCATACACTCACTCACACACTCTCACTCACTCACTCACTCACTCACTCACTCACACACTCACTTACTCACAAACTCACACTCACACAAACTCACTCACTCCCTCACACACACACAAACTCACTCACTCCCTCACACACTCACACACACACTCACTCACACACTCACACAAACTCACTCACTCACTCACTCACTCACACAAACTCACTCACACACACACACAGACATACATACTCACCTTGGGAGGTTCGTCCTTGATGAGTTGCTGCTGTGTGGCCTTGACCATCATGTGACCAATCTGGTTGGACAGTTCCTCAGCTTCAGGCCTCTCCAGCAGCCGCTGGAGGTTCTCCATCACCTTTGCAGCCACAAACAAAACACAGAATGGACTGGTATGGGGCCAGAGTGATAGACAGAGAGGACAATGGATGTTGGATTAAGGAGGCTATATAGATCAGGCAATCTACTCTTGTCATGAACCCGGATGAGGGTTCATGACAACAGACTTAATACAGACAATCAGTCAAGTTTGGGACCGCATTTTTAAGAAGTAGAAGTTTACTGTGTTAAATGCAACCATGTACATAATTCACCCCTGTACGTTGGGGACCGTATTGTAGATACAGTTCCTTGTAATAATGTACCTATAGAATGCATCTATAGAAGCGACACCTGTGCTGCATTGCAATGTGAACCAGTCAGAATTAGCCTGAGGAAGGTGACAGACGGTCACGCAAACGCCGGCCGAATAAAACACTTGGTTGTGTAAAAAGGAGTCTCTTTATTCATATGCTAAGACATGTGCAACTTAAAAGAAGAAGTCTCGAAACCCTACCTCTGACAGGTTGATGTTGAGGTGTAGGTAGACCCTGGCCTGGAGAAGGGCATTCTCAATGTCACCGGGGTTCAGCAGGAGGGCAAGGTCAAGGTTACTTCTCAGACACACCAGGGAACTGTGGGGAAAATGTAGTACATTGTACATGGGACAGTATACCAGGATAGGAATACCAGGAAAGTATAACAGGAATAAGTCATAGTAGAAATTTATGTTAAAACATCATTTAAACTCAAAGAGTACACAGGGATCAAATTTTTAACAACCACCATTGTTGCCTTCATCAGGATAAGTATAAGTCATGGTATGGAATCCAATTGAAAGTAAAATTGCTTATTGGAGCAGTCCTTACCTGTCTCCCATTTGAGCCTGTCTTCTCCCAATGCTGAGGAGGTTGTTGACCATTCGGGTAAACACCTGAACAATACAAATTTAAAAGTGGCTAAAGAAATAGGGTCATTTGAACCACTGTAACATATGTAGATGTAATTCAAATGTTGTTTGAAACAGGACTAATAAGTACTGGTATATTGAAACTGGCCTACCAATCCCAGATATTAACATTTGGACAAGTGCTAGGACATGGCCTGGGTACCATCCTGGTTAGTTTACGTCCGCTCCCACAGTCGCTACCAACCTGCAGCTGGTTGGCCTGTAGCAACTGTTAGAGAGGACGTAAACTAACCAGGATGGTACCCAGGCTCGCTAGGACAATCTTTAACAAAAAATACCATAATGTGTAATGAGATACAAAAATATATAATATTTATATGAACTCTATCTAAAAAAAATATGTGTACAAAACTGCAGAACTTACTGTTTTTGATGAAACAGCCTCATAGCAGGAGTCAGGCATCCAGTTGACGCCATGGATGTCGATGAGGTTGGCACACTCCCTTCTGTTCAGGAACCTGCCCTTACCGAAGGCGTCGATGTACATGTAGTCATCTGGGGAGTCACTGAGTAATAGAGGAACAAGGACATTTTTCTAAAATGTTTTGTGATACACAGGTAGACATTTTCTTGTAGATTGAGTATTTGCAAATGTAAGGATCACAGTGGGCTTTGTCAGTGTATATGTAAAGATTGCAGATTGTCCCAGTAAAGATTGCAGATTGGAATTCCCATTTCACCAAGAACAGATTGGAATTCCAATCAGTCCTAGGACAATCCCTGATTGTCCTGAATTCCGATCTCTATTGTGACAAATAGGACCAGTGCAATGGCCAAGTGGGTAGAGTGTTTCGCCTTGCATTCCAAAGACTTGGTACATACTGCTTTCTCTACTTTATAGCACTCAGCATTTGGGAAAGAGTACAACACTACCAGTGAACTAGCCCTGTGCTGTAGTGATTGTACAACTAGTACTACTCTGTGGCCCAAGGGCTATTGAACCAGAGATGTGACAAATGTATCATATATCAAGTTGATTTGATTTGATTATCTTGTATGCCACACAACAGTGACATGTACTGTAGCAGGTTGTGTTTGAACTGCAGAGAATCAGCATACTAGATAGCTAGACCCTTGGCCTTGCAGTAAGAGGAAATGAGAGTTTGCCTACCCGTCAGGCTGGTCGTGCCATCTCAGCAGGAAGTGGTTTGGGAAGTTGACAGGTTCCAGGTGGACGCCCAGACACTTGGCGATCTCGGCGTACAATATCGCCATGGTGATGGGAATACCTGCCTTTCTCTCCAACACCTGGTCAAGAAACAATCAGGGGGAAGATTAAATTTCAGTTTTATTTGCATATCAATCAATAGGTTGTGCTTATAAACCTGCATTTCCCCTCTGGTCTCTCAGTCAATGTCAAAAGCTAGTGGATACTAGCTGAAAGTCTGACGTTTCCAAAATCATATCCAGTTGCTTGAGTAACTGCTTTTTGGCGTATCGTATTACCTGGATGTCTAACCTTCATCAACGTAAATTTCAGTTATTTTTTCAGAGGTTGAACATTTTTGTAGACAGGCAAACTGCCCCTACAGCCTGCAGCTATGGGACTGAGTGAATGAGTGATTTTATTTTATTTATCCAGAATATTAAATACACTCAGGTACTAGTAACTAGATCAGTTTTCTGGGTATCCCTGGGATTATCAGTACAGCATGCTATTATGTACTACGTATATATGCTATGCACATTATAGTATACCATTAAAGATTAAGTATTAGATACTTAGTAGTTGGTAGGTCCACCAGTTTATTAGTCATTTTGTACATCATGCATAGTCTGGACATTTTTCTTCCGTCTTCTAGCAATAGCATTGCCTATCTATGTAACTCCTCTGCACTAGTTTTTGATTTGAAAGAAAGCACAAATTTGTCTCTTACATAAGGTAGAAAGGAGTTCTTGGAGTCGTAGTATTCCTCGATGTTTCCCCTGAAGCTCATCTGGTTGTACAGAACCTGGTTGATTGCCTCCAGAACCTGCCTGCACTCATTTCGAGAGAGGACAGGGGGCGCTGCAGTACAGGAAGAGAAAAAACAACCTGTAGATCATGAGTTTTACCCAAGAGGTACTAGTATATCACAGTCATGTAGCCTCTGTATGAATGGACTTTTCCCCACTTCAAGTGATAGGACAAGCAAAAAATGATTCTGATCATCTTGAGCTACAAAAATTTGTTGTTTTTGGCTTTTTTTTCCACAAATAGCAGTTTAGGCCATGCAAGATTTCCGTCAATTAGACAGGCAAAGCATGTCTGAAACTGGGACCCAAAGTGGTTGTCCCAAAACAAACTACAAACATACAATCAAGAGGGACTTGCAAACAGTAAATCTAAATTGGAAGGATGTAGAGAGACTGATTGTTGACTGAACCTACTGGAACACTGAGTGCCTCATGTGTCAGAAGACATGGGACCCCTTAAAAAGTCTAAGTAAGTAAGTATTATAAGTAAGTAATTATGTGTACAATATTTCAAGGATGACTTATGCATTTCATTGTAATCTGATGATGATGAATTTTAAACTGCTGATCATTGCACCACAAGTCAGGAGTTACTCCTGCCATGTTCTTCTATCAAATAAGTTAAAGTTATCTTAAGTACTAGTAAGTGAGTAAGTATCAGCTTTGCCATCCGAGTACCTTGGTTGCGATTGTCCCTGATGGCAGCGTGTTCTGGGTTCCTTGTGGCGATCTCTGCTCTCACCCTGTCCACGATCCTGTCTATCTGCTGCACCACTGCCTGAACTGTCATGTCCTCGGAAGGGTTGTTCCACTGGGCAAACAGCACTGCTCCTGTGTACGAACACAAAAAACAACACAAGAAATTTAATTATTACTTAAGCAACTGGATAAGTTTTGAGAATCATCTGACAAAATGTCTGATGATAGAGTTTGAGACTTTGAGTTGCTTGAGTATCAACTTCTTGTGTATTTCATTACCCGTATGCCTAACCTTCATTCATACAAAACACATGGTGCAAAGAGCACTGATCCTGTGCAGGATCACAAAAAAATTGTTAGTCAAGTAACTTGATATCCATGAATAGTTTCATCAGGTTGGTAATACTGTGACTGAACAAAGAGACTCTTTTTACACAATCAACTGTTTTATTCACAGCCAGTGTTTCGGTGACCGTCTGTCACCTTCCTCGGGGCAATTGGGAAAGGCTACATTGCACATGCACAACACTGATGTCAAATTTGACCAATCAGAATCAGGTTCTAGCCTTGGTGCTGACTTACCTTCCAATAAGCTCTCATATTACATTTGAAATTTGACCAATCAGAATCCGGTACTAGCCTTGGTGCTGACTGACCTTCCAATAAGCTCTCATATTACATTTGAAATTTGACCAATCAGAATCAGGTTCTTTTTTTTTTTGAAGTTCATTTTTTTATTCATTTCATTAGAAAAACAAAATCATGGCACAAGAAAATAAATGACGTACATGTATGACCACAAAACTGATACATAAAACCGGCAGACAATAAACAGTAGAAATAATAAGAAATTAATGAGAACCCCCCAGGGAAATAAATTAAAACAATGGCCAAAGGAAAACTTAGATCGGTATGACATGTAAGTTTTACCAATTTTTATATATATAAGAATATATATATAAGCAATTAATTATATATATTCATATATACGTTAGACAAGAGTATAAATCAGGTTCTAGCCTTGGTGCTGACTTACCTTCCAATAAGCTCTGCTGGTCTTCTGGCTGTTCCAACACCTGCCGCCACTCCCCCTTCAGATGCTGGTGCTGCATGTACCTCAGGACTTTTTCTCCGTAGTATTTCAGAGTCAAGTCTGTGTGTTTCCTATCATGTCAATACACGTAGTTCATTAATAACTGTTCCACATTAGAATCACATCCACATAGCTAGAGAAACTCTAGACACTACCTTAAGAAAATCTGGACACTAGCTTAAGAAACTTTGGACTTTTTCTCCATAGTATTTGAGAGTCAAGTCTGTGTGTTTCCTGTTGTATTGATACATAAGGATACACAATCAGAATGCAGCTCATTACCATTGGCAATAGTAGTGTAGTTCTACAGTAGAATCACATCCACATAGCTTATTAAGAAACACTAGACACTAGCTTATTAATAAACTCTGGAATTTTTCTCCATAGTATTTGAGAGTCAAGTCTGTGTGTTTCCTGATGTATTGGTACAGAAGGATATACCAGTACATACTTCACAAACAGTACTAGAATCACATCCACATAGCTTAAGAAACTCTGGACACTAGCTTAAAGAAACTTGGAACACTAGCTGGGAAGAAGTGTATTTCATAGGCAATTACTGCCTCTTATCTGAGCATTATGTTCTGTTCTGGTCTGTTCTGTTCTGTTATATGTTATGACATGTTAGATATTCATAATATGTGTCAAGTGAGGGGGGAAGTTTTACTGTGCTTATGAAAATCTCACTGTGCTAATAGCTATCAGTTATATATATCTGAATTGATTTGAGCATCTCAATAGCAGTCAGTCAATCTCACAGCTCCTAAACCTCACCTCACCGGTCCCATAGCAGTCTGTCCTGCCGTCGGGGCAACTAAACAAAATATAGAAATGCCGTACCGTTGTTTGTCATGTAGAAGAACCATCAGTTCGTTGAGCACGCTCCGCATCATGCACTCATTCTGTCCCGCCAGCTCTGCGAATGGTCGGAACGCCTCGGATGGGACCTCGTCCTTGTGGTAGAGAATGTTTTATTCAATAAAACAAAACCCTCACAGCACCAGTGCTGAGTTGTACACAACCAAGTCCTTTAAATATTATCAGGACTTAAGTATCAGACATTACAAATGAGAACTATTAAAGATAGTAATAACAATCCTGGAAAATAAGATATCACTATTATTACCCAGCTTAAAAGTCTATTATAACATTAACATTTACTGTCATTTAACAAACAAACATAATACAGTAGGGTACTATGATGACTTCTACCAACACAGATAAACTTCGAGATTGTCTGCATGGTGGCTTTAAAAAGGTGTCCTCATGTGCACCTGTTCCACCATGCCTTCCATGTATGTGGAGAATTGTAATAAATAAATAAATGCTAGTAAGGTAGTATGCTGTTCAGCATACCATGAAAGTTCATCTGTGTTGGTAGTAATCATAGTAAAACATTGAACTTTATTCCAACACAAGGGTTCACTTCAAAACGTGATCTCGCGAGAGTTACGGTTTACAAACACGTGACATTATTCACACGAGACTTTACTGATACGTGACGCAATTGATCAAAAGTGCCAGGGAGTTGTGAAGTGATTGGTCATTAATTATCCTGATGAAGGCGACAGTGGTCGTCGAAAATTTGATCGCTCTGTAACCCTTGTGTTGGAATAAAGTTCAATGTTTTACTGTTCAGCATACGTTGTGTCCAACACTACATGTCAGTTTCGCACTGTTCCTAAGTGTTGTATTGTGGAAGTGTTACCTTGTGGTAGAACTGTGGGGAGAAGGTGAGCAGGAGTTCCCGCACCAGCCGCCCGCACCGGAACCGTGTCTGGAACTCCTGCAGCCAATCATACTGCTTCTTCGGGCTGTAACGCATCTTCAGCGACGGCCATCTTGGAAAGGAAATTTGCCATTAGACACACTGTGCCAAAAGTTAAACAAACACAAACACACACATATGTACTAGTAGTTAATATCATATGGATGATTTCAAACGAGTTGTTCTGCTTCTTGGGGCTGTGCTGCATTTTCAGCAATGGCCATCTTTGAAACAGAATTTCCAATTTACTAATAGACACACTGTGCCACACACACACACACACACATCCCACACACACACCCACATACATTCATATACATGTACATGTATGTAACGTTATATGGACCATTTCAAACTGTCATACTGCTTCTTGGGGCTGTACCGCATCTTCAGCGACGGCCATCTTTGAAGGAAATTTGAAATTTACTACTAGATATTTGACACATTGTGGCAACGTTTATGGAGAGCAATATACATGTACCAAGCATTTCCATGTCCTTTTACTTGTAACCATCCTTTATATACTCATTGTCATGATAAACACATACATGTATACAAACACACACACACACACACACACACACAAACACACACTGACACACACTGACACACACACACACACTGACACAGTCACACAAGCATATGGACTGTTCTAAAACCCTGTATATACCCAGGGTGCCACGTAGACATGTTTATATGGTACCCAGCAAAATTACGAGAGTTGACACTGATCACTTTGAAAGTTTGAGAATACTTTATTTCAACCTTTCAGCAATCACATGACAATTTTATGTCACCAAAAACATTTTGAGAACATCATTTTTATCAACAAACTAATAATGAGAATCAAAACTGAGCTGTAATAGCTGTAAATACTACTACTAGCCCAATGGAATGCTTTTACTACCTCAATACACAAGTCTATTCATCATGTTATAAGACTTATTATTTATACTTAGTATTGACAATTATGTAATTGTTCATTTTTTGACAAGTACTGATATTGATAAGTCAGTGTCAAGATTTCTTTATTTCAATCTTGAGAATTTCTCTGTTGACTCCTTCCGAGTAAACCTTGCTGACTTCACTTCTGAAGACATCTTCCTTCCGGACAAACTCTTCAAACAGCCTGGTCCCTCCTCCCACGCCGAAGTAGTGAGTTTTTGCAGCCAGGTAGATGGTGCCGTGTGGTGCGAGCGTGCTCTTCATCAAGTCGTGCAACTTCTGGTAGGAGTCCGTGTTGTAGATTGTCTCCGATGTTAGGATGACGTCGTATTTCTCGTTGGACTTCGATTCTTCCGTCATTTTGTTGCCAGACTTCGAATTTGATTCTTTTGTCAGGTCGTTGGCACATTTTGATTCTTCTGTCAGAAGTTTCTGCACGCTGCTCCAGTCCCCTGCAAAAAATCTGCACCTGGTGGCATCAAGATCCGTTCCTGCGTTGAGTACGACGTTGGGAATCGTCACGTTTCGAAGCACTTCCTCATTGTAGTCTAGGAAGTGAACCTTTTCTGCTCCTTTGGTGAGTGCAAGGATCCCGGGTAAGCCTGCACCGCAGCCTATTTCCAGAACTTTCAAACCAGCCCAAGAGAGCGCTATTTCGCTGAGGTACTCCACAAGATCCACCGAACACTCCCATATCTTCATTCCACCTTCGTAGACATTCGGCACAAGGTCTGACTCTGAAGTACTAGCTTCTAGGCTCTTGCTTTGCGGAGCGGTTACATAGGACAACACTTTTCCTCCGTCTAGCCTAAGCTGGCTGGTGGCTGCAGGCTGTAGCAGTTCAGAAGGGGACACAGGGATTTCCTTTGCTGGTAATGGGGGAGGGGGGCACTCTGTGGTATCAGGAAGCTCCACTTTGCTAGTTTGACAACTACTAGTAACATCCCCTTCCTCTCTGTCTTCGTCATGTATCTGGAAACCGAACGTAAAGGACATCCTGGTTCCTCCAAGAAGAGTGTTATCCGCCGAAAATACCGCAGTTTAGTCATTTAAAGCACTTCCATGTGCACTTCGTGGTACTGAACGCTGGGTCCATACCGGAAGTAAATGGGTGTTGACCTTTGACCTACTTGGTCTACCGATATTTCTTTCCCAAGACACATATACACTAGTAGATATCAGGGAAAGAAAATATGCATGACATGAGAAATATTTCAACCTTTTTCACTGTAAATCTTGTCTTATTAGTTCCTGATTAGTATTCTAATCACGCAACTCATCACCTGCCTTGGACTTGGCACCAAAAAGGAAAGGAACGAAGATTTGCACCAAGACAAAAACATAGATATTTATGTCAAGTTTATATCACCAATAGTTTGTCGCATGTAAACTAGTCACTACCTCACCTCACCTATACGTATGTTGGCGGCTCTGGACACTAAACAATGCCTTTAAATGTCTCTAACTGTATGTTATTAATATGGGTCTGGTGGTCAGATGCGTATCGTGGGGTCATGATATTTGAGATGTTTACCTTTCGAACAACTTGAGCCTCCAGATCTCACCGCTTCTTGCGACCGAGTTGAATCTACTGCAGGTGTAGCCGAAGTTTAAGACGTCTTGGTGGTCCAGAACGGGCGAGCGAAGGACCTGTTCCACCGTTTCATCCGCCAGAGAATTTATTGTGGCAGCGGCCGCCATTTTGTATGTTTATGTGGACTATTCCATCGATTCGATTTTGAGGGAGAGACTAGGTGAGTACAATATTACTCTCCAAGCAGAGGTTTGGGTTTTGGGGTGTTTTTAACGTGTTTTTAGGCTTTATTTTATCGGGGGTTTTCTTTTGCACTGGAATTTTTTTTCACCCAACCCCCCAAATGTTTTTTTTTTAATTTCTGTGCAAAAGAGAAACCCCGATAAAGAAGCCTAAAAACACGCCAAAAATAACCCAAAACCCAAACCTCTGCTTGGAGTATAAACTTTTGAACAGGTCAAGGGAAGAACGTGGGTTGTTTTGCTTGTCTTGTGTCTCAGAAATATATGCTGACAAATTATTTTCAGTATTTACTTTGTGTATAGTTGCGAGCATAGACTTCAATGGACGGCTAGCCTGGTATCCAGTCTTACGTGATTGGGGGTATTGGGGTGTTCGGGAAGGTTGTGCCTTCGGGGGCTAGCTTCCCTCGCCCAGTGCAACAGACCGTCCCGGTAGGAGAGTTACGCTAATAAGAGACAGTATGCTTGGGGATTTGGAGGGCTAATCAATCTCTCGTGAAATACACACCGGGAAACCTATGTGAGGCGGGCGGGACAGAGCTTCGGCCCCGACCACGATCAGACTGGATACCAGTCTATTCAATGTCATGAAGTTTGCCAATGCTAATTAATGGCTTTGTGTACCACCTGTTAAGCGCCGGTTAAGCCAGGGGCGTACCAGCCTGGGACCCGCCAGGATCACCCCTGGACCCCGCCAGGGACCCTGTAGCTGCCCGGCCGGAATACAAGAGCCGGTCGGCACCCTACCGCATCCCGCACGGGTCCAGACGGGAGACTCACCGGGCACCGAACGGGTCCCTAACGTTAACAGAGACCGCCAGACCGGCCGTCAAAGGGACCAAAAGTTTGTGAATTTTAAATAGAAGCCGCCTCAGCTAGCTAGCCTCTACCAGGCACCTGGAAAAATAGTAGAAATTGGCCGAAATAAAGGAAATTATGTGACCAGGGGAGGTACTAAGCTATAGCCGGCCAGAGAAGATCCAATTCGCGACCCACGGACCAGCGATCCGCGGTGCCTGGTAGACAGTAGAGGCTACAGTAAGGGCCTGACAGCCGGCGCACGCTCGGCTTCATGACGCCGACCGGCTAGCCTCTACCAGGCTTGGGGAGGCGGCTGGAAAAAGTAGAAATCGGCCAAATAGAGAGATAAGCATGCCAAGGGAGGTTGTCCGTTGAGAGAACAGTTCGCCGCACCTTTCTAGCCACCTCCCCAAGCCTGGTAGAGGCTACCGGCCGGCGTCTACACCGAGAACATGCCTAGCAGGCCCCGTTGCAAATGTGACTCCAGCTTTAGAGACCTTTAACTGACTCAGTGCTCTCCAAGCAGAGGCTTCGGCTTATTTTTGATCGTCGTGTTTAATGTATTTTTTCTGGCTTTCTTATTCGTACTGGTGTCTGTTTTTACGCCAGAAAATTGCCCTGCCAAGTTGATACTGTTGTAACAGTTGGGGGTTTATAGGCGCTACCAACTGACCCAGCCAACGGGTCTAGACCTTTTCGGCCGAGTTGTTAGTTCGGCCGAGTTGTTAGAGCGTCTGAGTCTGAAGCTGGTGCTCGGGAGGTCATGGGTTCGAACCCCGGCCCGGACCAGGAGGGTTTTTATCTGTTTCTACTCGCTCCTTCTGTTTCTTACAGTGGTTCCCACACCAGTTCTGACAAAGAGTGCCGCTCCAGGGATGTCGAATTTGGAAGATTCGAGGACGAATCTTGAAAAGAAAAGGGGGAGTAGTGTAACAGTGGGGTAGGCGCTACCAACTGATCCGGCAAATGGGCCGGGTCTAGACCTTTTAGCGGAGAGGTTAGACTTACTTAGAGTGTCTGACTGGGGCCCGGGAGGTTGTGGGTTCGAACCCCGGCCCGGGACCAGTGGGGTTTTTACTGTCTCCTCCTGTTTCTTACACTGTCTTTACTGGCCACCATATTACATCTGCTTGGAGATTACTAACTTCGGACTTGCACACTTCACAACAGGCCCTCCTTGCTAATCTCCATATGAGCAAATCTTCCGGGTGGCTGAGAAACAATATCTATTTGCTCGGCTGGCGTATTAAAAAGATCTGTATCAGTATAGCCGGTATATCCGCCCTTCGGCGTAACACACCAGCTTCGCAGGCACGCGGTGCGGCGGCAGCTAGCTATATCACACCGAACGACTTGTTACACTCAATCTTTGCACATTTGATTGCAGGAGTTGTTTAAATGAGTGATGATGCCCCTACTGTGCTTGGTGGCAACGAGTTCCAGCTAGTCTACGATAGTTCTGGGGAAATACGAGTTTTTGAACACCTCAAGACACCTCAAGTACAAAAAAGAAAACCCGGTAAAAACGCCGAAAAACACGTCAAAAATAAACCGATTTTTTCGAAGCCTAAACCTCTGCTTGGAGATAGAGCACGGTCAAGGTCTGTACCAGCCTTCCGCGGGTTACTAGGAGGCAAATACCCCCGGCCAGACATATATTATTATGATGATGACTGCCAGACAGTATCGTCAGCAACGTTTCCAACTAATGGTTTCCAGACTCATCCTCCGACTGTTTCGGAAGACAAGCTATAGGAACGGCACGTGCGTTCCCGCCATTGACGTCACACAAGGTGCTTCCATGGTAGCGTTCAACAACCTCGCACGCGCGTAGAGCTGAATCATGGGAAAGAAACTTGAAATAGAAACGCTGTTGTCAAGGAAAATGCCAAGTCTAGAAGAATCGAGACGTTGCTTACGTATACGTTACCATGACATGGTCAGCTTTTTTTTTCTGAAACCGGTTCCCAACTTTTTTTTGCTGATGGTAGAACATGCACACGGCCCCAAAGTTTGCACACGGCCCGCTTTGCCTACGACCATGATTTTAACGAATAAAAAGGGCAAAATCAGAGGAAATCTCTTCACTTTTTCCTGCTACCTGCTGAATCGTGTGGAGCTGACTACAAAATGAAGGGGACATCGAGCATCATTCTTCTTCTTCTCGCCGCTTGTCTTAGCGCCTGGGCAGCGCCAAGCTATCGCGGCGGTAGCTCCGACGAAGAGACGCAACAAGAAGGACCCACCAATGAAGCCGGAGACTACAACAACCCAAGACCAGCAGATCTGATCGAAGCGGCCGACGCCTCCGACCCAGCGAAGACCTACCAGCTCCGTCACACTCTCAACATGAACGGCGGGCGGTACACCATCTTCACCAAGGTGAAGAAGGACGGCAGCTTGGAGCATCAGGCCACCAGGGTGTCCAAGAACAGCGTCGAGACCGTCGACCGTCAACCCGAGGCCTACTCGTCGACGGCGGTCCCCTTGGAAGAGGCAAGCGAACAACTTCTGAAGAAGGAACTCGGAGAAGACATCCAGAACGTCAACGAAGATGCGAGTCTGAACGACACCCGTCGAGGTCCCGTCTACGACTGCGCCTACAAAGTGTGGAACGACACAGCAACAGCGCAAGCGGAGAGCAAGATAATCTACAGGGTTCTGCCATGTCGCCCTTCGGGTAAGTGTGTTGGGTTAAACCCCATAGTAAGTTACTAGTATTAGGATCTCCTATACTCTCCAAGCAGAGGTTTGAGTTTTGGCTTGTTTTTGGCGTGTTTTAGGCTTTTTTTATCGGGGTTTCTGTTTTGCACTGGAATTTTTTAGATCTCCTATATATACGCATACACCGGACTGAAAAAGTACATGCATGTCAAACTGGATACGTCTTTCTGCTAACGGTAACGTGGTTGGATTTTGATATAACTGCCAGTATGTGTAACACACTAACAATTTGAATCTTTTGCAATTTATTCAGCTAGAACTATAGTTATTTCTTGTGCAACTTTGTTATTAGCATCCTTGTGCGTAGTCTGATTGAGAACTTTTGCTTGGTACCAGTTGCATTGGTCCGGTTTAGAGTATTGTCGTTCTTTACAGTACTTGTGTAGCGATGATGTGAGTGGTCCACATTTCATCAATTGTTACAGTTTGGCTTTCCCAGATGAAGCTGCAGTTTGCCCGTCTAGCCTCATGAGTTTATTGCAATGTTAACTTGTGTTTTTCGGTTTTCTTTTTGAAGGGTTACGCTTGAAGGGCTATGGAGTACAAAGTGCTGTGTGGTCTCTCAGGATCGGTTCGAGCGAAGTCGGAGCTCAAACTAAGTAAGTTTTCCAAGATTGACGATTAACAAAATCTTGCTTCTTCTGTTACAGAAAGGAACGAGCAGACCTGCGACGGTACTACCGAACAGTACATGACGTGCGAATTCAAGACGGACCAAACCCTGCGACAAGTCATACTCCAGAAAGCCGAGCTCTACATCCCCCAGTTAAGCGACGACGGGCCACCTCCCAACGCACACGAAGCAGACGCCAGAAGCGCCGGGCAACCGAGTCAAGACAACGGCACGACCCAAGACCCCGAACCTACGGCCAAATCCATCGCCAACGGTTCCAGTTCGGTCACCAATCCAACAGCCGACGAAGCCAGCAGCATCGAAACGTCCAAAGATGAAGACAGCCAGCTCGAGTACAAGTACAAGAACGTCGGCGGAGATCAAAGCGCCCCGCCGAAAGAGCAACCACCTGTCAACTTCCTGAAACTCGCGGCCGCCAAAGAAAAATCGGCGCCAAACATCAACGACGCCCGTGGCGACGCGCCAGCCGCAGGCGACAACCCAGCCAGCACTGAAGTCGTCAACATCGCCATGTACAAGCCACACAGAAAGGCACCGTTCCAATTCGGCGCTCGGGCAACCGACGGGCACTGCGGGCCGGCTTTAGACGTGTTGAAGATGCTCCAGCGCTGGCAGAGGCGTGCGTTCGACCCGAGCAGCATCGAAATCCGCCTGCCGATGGCCGCCCCTGACTGCGCCGAGAAGACGGACAACTGTGCCGACGGACAATGCCTTCCTCACGGCCGCGTGTACCTTCTGCTCGCGTACGCGGAAAAGGCGGACGACGAGGAGCCGGCAACCATGGCCCCTGAAGTCATGAAGGAGTTTCTGGACATTATTTTAAGTAGAAGCAAGCTGGACTGATCGAACTACACGCCCTGTATGAAGTACCGACTAAGATACGAGTACGTAACACTAACAGTTGTGCCTTTGTAACTACACGATGGAATGGCAAGTCACTACAGAATACATATACAACGGTAAGGTTGATAAAAGCATAACAGTGCTGCTTTTGATTGCTATTATATCGCATTAGCTTTCAAAATTTGTAACTAGCTAGCTCTTGTCATAGTTTTACTGCGGTTTTGGCTGGTGTGACAAACGTGTACAGATTGGTTTAGTCCGATGAAAGTGTATAAATGTTATATCTTGGGCTGCTAATATCAAGTATCTTTTATTTGTCTCCAAACCGTTTTTCTATACTATTGACACGTGGACTTAGACAAACGTCCATTTAATTCGACCTTTAATTTTTCTTCTTTCATTGTATTGACTCATGGACAAAAAGGTCCACTTCGACTGATTGTATATTTCCACGGAGAGAGCCTATGTTGTGAAAGGAAAAATGTTAAATGTAACTTGCGACACTTGAAGCAACTTCTGTCGGGCACAGTGCATCATGTATGGATTCGTTGCTCGGGTTAAGTTGCCACAAATGCAATGCTGATTGCTTTGAACAATATATATCAAAATGTATCAAACTCTTCAAGTCTTGTTGCTTTCTTTTTGTCCTGTGTTTGAATGATGAAGTTATCATGCATACTCTACCTAAGTTGTGACGGAAAATGGTAGCAACTGGTTCATGTTCGGTGGTGCTACAAGCCTACTACTTATCATTGGTTACACCAAATAATGCAAGGAAACATCATCTAAAACACAACCAAGAAGAACCTAACAAATAACATTGTCAGGTGTTCCTTCATATTACCCAATAGCCGTACAGGTGGTAAAAGTTGAACTTGTCTTCAGTCAGCTACAATTACAAAGAATGATGATGTTCAACCACAATAACTTTTCAATGGGGTAGAGCTAACTCACAGTTAAATATGTCTGTCGAGGTGTAGCTCTCATAAATCAATCAACAAATAAATCAATCCACCAACCAACCAATCAATCAATCAATCAATCAATCCACCTTCTATCCAAGAGGATGTCCCTTACCAAAGCTAAACACTAATTTTCATCTGAGTTGAGTGATGAAATAGGTTTTAAATTTAAGTGCCTTTGCCAATGGCACTACACTGGAGCTAGCAGAGGATTTGAACCCACAACTCCACGAGGCCACCTCGCCACCACTCAGTTCAGTTTACACAGATGGTACTAGTAATACTATAGCCAAGAACAAAACAAGTATGTTGGATATACATAGACATACCATAGACAAATGTGCGTAGGGTGCCAAGTCCAGCGCCCTTGCCTCTTGAACCAACAGGTTAGGAGTTTGAATCCCGGCTCTTGTCACTCACTTGACATACATGCTAATGTGAGGGGTTACAGTCTTTAGAATGTCATGTTATGCCATGGTGCACTGTACATTGTGCTTGTCAAAAAGAGCTGGGAGAATTTCCCCAGTACAATGAACCTGTAAATACATAGTGTCTATCTTCTCTGACAAAAAGAGTAGAGGACTAGCTCTTCAGTGAGCTAAAACAGAATTAAGTTCTTTTCCTTTAGCAAAACAAACACAACATAGTCTATTCACTTGGACTGTTTTTTTATTAAGTCATTTTATTCTTTCCATAAACTTTATGGTGACATTTAACGTCTTGCAAGGACCAGATCAAATTACACGTACCTGTACATGTACCTGTATATACAGAGTAGAAACAACACTAAACAGTCATGTAAGGTGCAAATTTTTAAGCACGTAAAAAGGGGACTATACAACATATAGATGCTTAATATACATTCAAATGTACCAATATTTACAGAAAAAATCTTTCATCATCAATTCACTGAATATAAATTGGGACTACCATTTTGAAGATGCTCATTTGCAACAGTAGCTAATTATCCTGGGTACCATCCTGGTTAGTTTACATCCGTTCTTTCAGTTGATGACTTTCAGAGCGGACGTAAACTAACAAGGATGGTACCCAGGCTAGTAGCTAACCTACTAGTAGGAAAGCAACAAAATGTCACTCTAATCTCGGAGTTCATTTGTGTTGGTGGAAGTAATTATGAAATGACTGTCATTCTTTGACAAAGACTGGAGTTGTACAGTCGAAAATTTATTTATTATTTGTAAGTCCAATTTATTGTGTTCGCAATTGCAGTTCAAACTCGTTTCAAAATGTCACTCTAAGAATAAAAACATTTACACGCTATTGATCTAAATTCTAATCTCAAGCATCTGACGTCCATCTTGTCTGTCCGTCGTCCAAGTACTCCAAGTCATCAAACTGACGCAGGTGGAACTTGGTGACCTGGTGGCTGCTCATGATCTTTATGGCAAAGTATCCACAGACAACCTGCAAAGAGGTAAACCAGTCGTAAGAAACAGGAGGAGGGAGAAGAAACAGATAAAAACCCCGGGTCCCGGGCCGGGGTTCGAACCCACGACCTCCCGAGCACCAGCTTCAAATCCCGACGCTCAAACCACTCGGCTAAAAGGCCTAGACCGATCGGCCGGGTCAGTTTGTAGCGCCTGTGAACCCCCCACTGTTACACGGTCACTTTCTTAACATCTAGTAAAACGAAAAGACACAAACAATCTTTTGTACCTCGTGCGCTGCAGCTATTGTTTAAAACCCGATCTTTGTATATA